GGAACAACAAGATAGCTGACATGAGTTTCCACAGCTAAGATAGAGAGGTAAGGGCTGGGGTTGTGGCTCAGTGGTAGAGCGCTTGCCTAGCATGTGTGAGGTACTGGGTTTGATTCTCAGCACCACATATAAATAATTAAAGCCCACTGACAACTAAAAAATATTAAAAAAGATGGAGAGGTGAGATGTGTGGCTGCTTGAACAATCTGAACAAGAAGGGAAATCAGCTATTTATCTTGTCTGACACATTTAAAAGGAAATTAGGTAAAGCCTTAGATGCTTGTCAATGGAAGAGATGACAGTGGAGTGGAATAGGTTGCCAACACAACAGAGAAAGGATTAGGACCATAAGAACAGACTGTGAATAGCACAATCAAACTGAACTCCATTCTTCCACCCCCATGCATCACTTTGGGAATATTTTATGGGGTAAATGTGGGCTGCCTTTATTTGAAGCATTTAAGTTAGAAAGAAAATCTCAAACTGTTCTGCATCATGATTGTGATGGACAAATGCATATTTGTCCAAAAGCTTTCAGGGCTCGGGATATAGCTCTATGATACAGTGTTTGCCTGGCATAAGCAAGGCTCAAGGATGGATACACAACATGGCAAATAAATAAATAAATAAAACCTAAAACCTCAAAGAACTGTATGTCAAAAATGGCAAATTTTGCTACACAGTCATGTGCCATATAATAACATTTCAGGCAACAATGGACCACATGTATTGAAAAGGCTGCCTATAGTGAACGCATAGCAAAAGACAAAAGAAAAGCAAACTGTAGGAGAAGAAAACTCCCTAAGAATATTCACAGTGAAGCATTTAGCAGAAGCTTTTGTAGACCTCAACAAGCTCCTTGAAAAGTTTGAAAACATGGGACTGGGGTTGTAGCTCAGTGGTAGAACACTTACCTACCATGTGCAAGACCCTGGGTTCCATCTCCAACACTATATTTTTTTAAAAAAAGTTTGAAGATATGGATCACAATCCCTAAGAGTTTTCATTAAGAGAGTGGAATTTTCACACATAATCTGCTTACAAGCAAACCTATGATAAAAAAATAAAATCAAGCAAACCACCATGGACATATTTCTAAAAGGAGTAACACATCCTCAAAGAGAGCCTTAGGCTATGTCATTCTAGAGATGCAGAAGGTGGCATTGTCATCAAAGGAGGTGACAGCACTATGCATGTTATTGCCCCTGAAGACCTAATGGTAGGACAAGATGTGGAGGTAGAAGAGTGATCCTGAAGATCCTGACCTTGTATAGGCCTAGGCTGATTGTGTTTGTCATTATTTAAAACATTTGAAAAGTAATAATAAAAATTTTAAGAGGAAAGAGATAGGAATAAGAACATAAAAAAAGTAAATACTTTAGTACAGCTATACTGTACAATAGGTTTTTGGTTTATCCCATGTATTACAAGAGTTAAAATTAAAAAGTTTAAAATTTACATTAAGCTAAAACTTGTTTATTATTAAAGAAAAACATATTATGAATTCACAGTGTAGCCCACGTGTACAGTGTTTATAAAGTCTACAGCAGTATACAGTAATATCCTAAGCCTTCACATCCACTCACTACTCATTAGCCAATTAACCCAGAGCAGCTGTTCCATTTATGGGATGTGCCCCACAGAGGTATACGAACTTTCATCTTTTTGTATCTTTTCTAATCAACATTGTTTTGGGGGTTTTGTTTAGTTGCAGTGTTGAGGACTGAACCAAAGGCCTTGTACTAGGTGAGCACTCTACCACTGATCTACATTCCAAGCCCTATACCTTTTCTAAGTTTAGATACACAAATACTTCCTATTGTGTTACAACTACATACAGTACTCATGAAAGTAGCATGCTGTACAGGATTTAGCTTAAAAGAAACATGCTAGAACACATAGTCTAGGTGCATAAGCTATATCTCTAGGCTTATGTGCTCTGTGTTACCACAAAGAAATTGCCTACTGGGGGCTGGGGATGTGGCTCACAGGTAGAGTGTTTGTCTGGCAGGTGTGAGGCCCTGGTTTTGATTCCCAGCACCCTTCGAAAAAAAGAAATTGTCTAACAATACATTTCTCAGAACATGTCCTGTCATTACATGGCACATAAGTGTAAACTGAATATCCTGGCCCAATAGTAATGCACAAAGAGGACTACACTGGGCACATATTCTTCTGGTAGCCTGGCCACCCAAAGGTACAGAAGAGAGGTGACCACTATGCCCTGGCATGGTCAGACAATACCTATGGCACCTGAGCTGGATGTGTCCTTCCAGAAGCAAAACAGAGTCATAAGAGAAAAGAAGCTAGAAAGATGGGAAGCACTGACATGCCACTAGCCTACCTGCTATTCTTTCTACCATTCCACTTGTCTTCACATCTGCCCATCATGCCTTCAAGCAGATAAACATGGAATAGGCCAGAAGAAGGCAGCAGACCTCCTGAGGCCTCTAATTGGTTTATATGGATCCACACAGCAGCCACTCATGTGAGTTATGACCACGCCTAAGTACAATGTTAGGCTGGCGCTCTGCCCACACCTCAGCATTTGGTCTATGAGAACAGATTTGGAGCTTAGTGAACACTCCATCTATGCTTGATCTACAACAGGCAGGGCTAAGGTTGATGAACTTCTCCAGGAATTCATAGAAGTTGCCAATAATCCCTATCTTTTCTAAAAGCACATAAACTTTTCTTTCTAGAGTACAGCTTGAGATCAATCAAACCCTCCCATTTTGGTCATTTCCTCACCCACCTCCTTCCTTTGAAAATTGGGAGGCTGGCCTATCTACAGCCCTTCAGCATCTCTTCCAACCTATAATTCTTTAAGGATCAGCAGCAATTCCACCTGCAGCCAACCTTAATAGTTTCTGTACATAATTCCACCAAGTCTAAGAAATTACACCATTTGGAGAAGCTAGGCAATCTAGCAGAACTTTGTCCACCAGGGATTTCAATTCTCTTACCATGTTTCCTTCTGTCCCCCATCTCTTTACTTAGCAATCATGTAAAGCAACCTGCTATCCCCCCAGTTCTTCCTGTTTCCCCATTCAGAGCCCATGGCAGGATTTTGCCCTTCCCATTCCTTTCCCCTAGCAAGTGCTGGAGATGGAACCCACAGACTTTTGCGTATCAGGCAAGTACTCTACCACTATCTAAAGCTATACCCCCAACCCCCCAAAGACCTAGGTGCTGCTGGCAGGCATCCTCCCTCAGCTTCCTCTCTGGTCTCTTTCCTTCCTCATTTAGATCATAGTCATACTCAGAACCCTTGTTTGTGAGCCTCAGTCCTCTGAGTATGCTTCCCTTTCATTCTCAGACCACAACATCATACTTTTTTTGGACCTTCCTAAAACTTTAGAGTATGTGTCTGACTCCTCCTGGCCTTCTCATTTCCTGACTTTCCTAAGTCTGAGGAATTGAAGATTATATCTGCAATCAAATATATCACCTTAAAAAGATGTTAGAACTGAGGGTATAGCTCAATGGGAGCGTATGTGTTTAGCAGTCACAAGGCCCTGGGTTCAATCCTTAGCAAAACACACACACACACACACACACACACACACACACACACACACACACACACAATGATTCAGCACATTAAAAGACTAAATAGAGAGAGCTAGGGTTGTAGCTTAATGGTACAGTGTTTGCCTCGCACATGTGAGGCACTAGGTTTGATTCCCAGCACCGCATTAAAAATAAACAAAGATTTTTTTAAAAGGCCACATATTAAAAAAAAAAAAAACTTAATTCCTATTGTGGTAGAATTAAGAGGTGGTGCCTATTTGGAAGTGACTGACTCTTGAAAGCCCTGTCCTCATAAATGGATTAGTGCCTTTTAAAGGCCTGGAGGTTAACAACTTGGGAGGCTGAGGCAGGAAGATCCCAAGTTCAAGATAAGCCTCAGCAACTTAGCAATACCCTGCCTCAAAAAAGGGGTGGGGGGCAGGCTGGGTGTGTAGCTCAGTGGTAGAGTACCCCTGGGTTCAATCTCCAGTAGTGAAAAGACCTGGAGGGAACCAGCTTAGGCTTTCTTTAGCCATGTTGTCACATGAAGACAGTCTTCCTCCTTTCCAAAGGATGAAGCAATAAGGCGCCATCTTAGAAGTAGAAAATAATCCTCACCAGACATCAAACATGCCAGTGTCTTGGATCTTAAGATTCCCAGCTTCTAGAACTGTAAGAAATAATTTTTCTGTTATAACTTACCAGTCTCAGGTATTCTGTTACAGCAGCACAGATGGAATAAGTGAGATACTTGGCTTTTTTAGCCCTGAATCACATAGCAGCAAATCTTTCTAATATCTTTATTCACCCTTAATCTGAGCTTCTATATACTTCCCTGCCAGGCCCCATTGATCAGAACCCATGTATGAAACAGGAGGCAGCAAACAGGGCCCAAGACTCTAATTGGCACTTCCTACTAGTCCAGTCTTGCCTAATTAGCCACCCCAGGCCCTGACCAAGACTCTTGGCATTGTCCAAAACAAAACAAACAAAACACCAAAAATACTCAGGGCATCATGGAATACAACATGCAGCCAATACAGACTTACACCTGGAAAGGCTTTAGGGAAAGGGTCACTTTTGTGTACTCTTCTCAAGCACCCCATACAGAAAAGGCCCTTGGTCAGTCAGTCCCTTATGAGATGGGCTCCACATGTCTTCTTCCAGAGGAGGGAAATGAGGGAAGGGCTTTGTCATTTACTTTGATCTACATGCAAAGAGACTGTAAGATGATAATACTTTTTTTTTTTCCCAGAGACCAGAGAGTGAGTCAGGGTCTTTTGACATTCAGTCAATCCCTTCCCATGCTCCATGCTGCCTCTGGAGATGAGGAGTCAACTTTGTGGCTCCATAAACACAAACAGGGTCGCTGGGTCCAGGCCACAGCCTGAGGAATAGTTGAAGCCACAGGAGGCTGAGCCCACACAGCTCCATGTCGCCGACTAGGCTAGGGTTCACTTCACAGCCCCTGGCCTCTCCCCACTCACAAGGACAGCAGCAACGAAAAGCCAGCAATGTAGAGATTCCTCTGGGCACGGAAAAGCTTCATGTGGAAATGTTCCATGGCCCCAGGATTGTTCTGGAGGTTCACCTTTTCTGTCACATCATCATACTTCCGAATTTCACGTACGGCATCTATGGTGAAGCAGCGAGAAGACAGAAATATTTAGCTGTCACTTGGGAAAGGGAAACAGGTACTATAAAATGGGCTGGCCTCACTTCCCTCATATCCATCTCCCTAATTACTTCTACTTCCACACACACCCATGGGAGGCTTTATCAAAAGCTTCCTCCCTCAGGCCTCCTTTCTGCTCTGGCTTTTTGCACATCAATACCTGCTCCATTCTATCCAGACCACAAGCTTGCTCTATACTTCAAGACACTAACCCAGGTTAGGTATTGCTAACAACAGTGGCAGCATCCCTTTCCTATTGTGCCCCCAATCTCAGCTTGTTCTCCTTCTTTTAAGTCAGGCTGCCAACTACCCCACTGGCAAGCCAGGTATCCTATTTGTGGAAATGCCTGCTTAAGAAGCATGGAGATGCCTTGGAATCAAGGGTTTCTGTTTTTAAATTTTACAAAAGGCTTTATTATTTATGTCTTATTTTGAATAGAAAAGGAACTTATGCTCATCAAAAGTTCAAACATGCTGGACCCAGTGGCACATGTCTGTAATCCCAGAAGCTCAGGAGTCTGAGGCAGGAGGATCACAAGTTCAAAGCTAGCTTCAGCAAAAGCAAGGTGCTAAGCAACTCAGTGAGACCCTGTCTCTAAATAAAATACAAAATAAGGCTGGGGATGTGGCTCAGTGGCCAACTGTCCCCGAGTTCAATCCCTAGGACTCCCTCCCCCAACAACAAAAAAAGTTCAACACGGTGGTGCACTCTTGTAATCCCAGCTACTTGGGAGGCCAAGGCAGGAGGATTTCGAGCTTAGGGCCAGCCTGGGCAATTTAGCAAGACCCTGTCTCAAAATAAGAACTGGCTGTAGTTCAGTGATAGAGCACCCCTGGGTTCAACATCTAGTACCAGGAAAAAATGAAAAGATACATATATAAGTATGTGGTCCCCTCATATAAAGTCACTATCAGTCATATCACCCTATTATCTGCTTTATAATACAAATCTGACTCTGAAATTATTAGAACATGTTTCTTGTCTGTCTTCCCCAAAGTAGACTTTATTTATGAAGCAGAAGCCTTTTCCACCATTTCCCCCAAGAGCTAGCATACCTCTGGGTATAGAGTATTCAAAAAGAATAATTTTTGAAATTATTCAAAATAATTATTGAATAACTCTGCCTCCAAAAGAGCTACTGTCAGATGCACAATTCTATGGTTCCATTCAGATGTACATGGAACTAGAGCACACCTACTACTTTTCCCCACTTATCATGAGATAGCTTTTTAAGTACATAAAATCTACCTGAAGAATACTCTTAATAGACCCCCATGTAAGAGGGCAAGAGATCACTATCTGGTACTGAGGGTTTGGCTCAGTGGTACAGTGCTTGCCTTGCATGTTCAAGTCCATGGATACCATCCCCAGTATGACCCCCGCCCCCAAAAGGTGGGGAGTTTTAATGTCTAGGTATTGTTTGGTTTGTAATTTCTGGTTTGGACAGGTTGGTTTTCATGTTGATCTTGCATTACAAAAATCTACCTGCCCTTCCTGGTGTCTGTGTGTTAAATCTGTGTCATGATGTAAGCACTCTCAAACACTGCCAGTAGGAGTATAAGCTGGTACAACAACATATCCATTAAGAAATGTAAAATGTTCATACCCTCAGGTTCAGCAACTCTACCTTTATGAATTTATCCCACAGAAGCATGTACAATACAAGGATGCCTATAAGGGAATTAAACTATAGCACAACCATATGAATATGCAATCTTTTATCTAACTTTTTTTTTGGGGGGGGGGGCAGTACTGAGGATTGAACTCAGGGGCACTTCACCACCGAGCTACATCCCCAACCCAACTGATTGATTCATGCTGGGGATGAACTGGGGGTGCTTAACTGCTAAGCCACACCCCCAGAATCCCCCCCCCTTTGAGACAGGATCTGGCCAAGTTGCTAAGGGCCTCCCTAAGTTGTTGAGGCTGGTCTCCAACTTGGGATCCTCCTGCCTCAGCCTTCAATGTGCCAAGATTTCAGGCACACAATAACACACCTGGCACTATGCAATCTTTAAAAACAATGAGATTGCTATAAAAGATTCCTAAGGTAAACAAAAAAAGCACAACCCAGAACAATGTGCATATGACCCAAGCACTGTATACATTCCAATGCACCACAAAATATTCATAATGGTTACCTATGGGACATGGGATCATGGGGGACTTCAACTTCCCTATCTTTAATTTCTCCATCTTTTCGGCGGGGGGGGCATACTTGAGATTTAACCCAGGAGCAATTTACCACTGAGCTACATTCATAGTCCTTTTCATTTATTCTGAGACAGGTTCTCTCTCCAAGTTGTTTAGGGCCTCCCTAAGTTGCCAAGCCTGGCCCTGAACTTGCAATCCTCCTGAGTCATTGTGCTTATAGGCAAGTGCCACCATACCCAGCAATTTCTGCATCCTTAATAATAACTTTATACTATTTTGTAATCAGAAAAACAAGATTAAAAATATCAATTCTCACATTGTTGTTGCAATCCAAGAATGCCATCATCCTAAAGACCACATTGACTAACAGCCGAGAGGAGACTGGAGTTCGGGGGAGGTTGAGTACTACAACCCAAGGCCCACAGCAGAACCCAGCCCCCATCCCCAGGTTGGGTCCCAGCCCAGGTAGATGGACCCTACCTCATCACCTCTACTCTCCCAATCACATCTGATATAGACCACTCCTGGTGAATAGTGCTGGCCAGCGCTGTAGCTCATGCTAGTTATACCTATAATCTTTCAGTAGTTCTACTATTAACACTTATACCTGCAGAAGATCTGCAGATGTCTCTAAATTATGTCTCTAAATCATAGTCATACATCTCTCTAGAACTCACAGCAGACCCATGATTCCCAAAAAGAATGCTTTGCCAACTACCAAAAGGTCTCTCTGGTAAGCTAGCTTTTCTAGTGGTAAGCTGCACTAGAAAACAGACACTATGGCTCTGGTTTGGGGAAGGGGCAAGACCCTGAGGGAATAAGCCCAACATGGTCCATCCTTCCTCCAGTTCTTGCCCTCTCCCCAAACTAAAAGCAAGCATGTCTATGTCTATGTCTACTCAATTCAAAAACTCTGTAGCCTGGCTTTGCAGCTCAGAACCAAGATTGACACAAATATTCCCTACTGACTCCTGGCTCAGAGGCTGCTCAGGGAGAGAACCCTGATTGAAAAGAGCTGCTTCTAGACAGCTTGCCAAGTATTTCAAGAACAGTGAGGTATGTGGGCAGCTGGCACCTACCCTATATGCCTGGGAACTGGCAGGCCACACCTGGCCTGTTCAGAAACAGTCTTGCCTGAACAAATCCCATGGGCCCCAAGACATCAGGAAAGAGAAATACCCAATAATGTAGCTAGTGGGTGGGGCTCTGTACAGTCCTCTGACCTATGTCCCTCACACTAAGGTAGAAATGCTGGGCACCAAGGGACAGAAGTACTCAGTACCTAAGCAAGTGTCACAGCTCTCAAATGGGACTGCTATCTGCAGCAGAGCCAAGCAAATGATCAGGGCACTTATATCAGTCTCTGTCTCCGAGAAGCCAAAGCTGTTCTCTATATGTCCAAAGTGGCACAGGGTTTTGCAGCAGAGGCCATGGCACAAGGCGTGTGACAGGCAGTTGCCCCTAGACCCAGCTCACTCACCAATAACCAGCAGCACAAGGATGACAATGAGAACTACGAAGAAGGTGTTGCCATAGGTCACTACTAACTCCACCAAACGAGACTTGAAAATCTTCTGCCATCTGTAAAGGAAATAAAAAGCATAGGAACTAAAATCACACACACACACACACACACACACGAGATGTAGGCCCTAAGCAGAACAGAAAACCAGCTGTTCTCCTGTGGCCAAACAGCCCATACTAAGTCAACCTCAGCTGCCTGTAATTCTCCAATTAATGATGTCCCTTCTAGAGTGTTTAATAAGCCAGGAGTGGTGCTGCATGCCTGTAATCCCAGGGGCTCGGGAGGCTCAGGCAGGAGGATCTCAAGTTCAAAGCCAGCCCCAGCAACTTAGTGAGACCCTGTTTCAAAGTAAAACATAGAAAAGTTCTAGGGATGTGTCTCAGTGGTTAAGTGCCCCTGCGTTCAATCCTTGGTACGAAAAAAAAAAAAAAAAAAAGAAGGGGGAGGGTGTTAATAAAAAGATGTCTGCCCACATACAAAAAAAAAAATCTAAAACACAGACCTTCTCTAGTGAGGAGAAACAATTTTCATCATATCCTGCTTCATAGTATTTAAGTGTTTGCCCTATACAACTGGTATTTCTTTTTTATTTAATTTCAATATTTATTTTTCAGTTTTCGGCGGACACAACATCTTTGTTTGTATGTGGTGCTGAGGATTGAACCCGGGCCGCACGCATGCCAGGCGAGCGCGCTACCGCTTGAGCCACATCCCCAGCCCCACAACTGGTATTTCTTTAAACTTTCTATGTGATAAATTTTGGTTTGTCTAGTTCTTCCCACTCTGATTATAAAAACACTCCAGAGCTGCCACCATGTCCATCCACGAATATTGTGGGATGTGGAGAATTATCTTCAGAAATGTTTACATATTGTTAAAATTAGAAAGGCACCCTCATTATCAGAGGCAGCATTTGAAAGCCCAATTGTTTTAACAGTTGCTTTGTTACAATCAGGAGCCAACAAGGTTCTGACTTGGCATCTGGTAAGTCTGTCTTACTCTGCAAGTTCCACCCATCCACCCCCCTTTTGTTTCTGATATGAGATTAAAGTCAGGGCCTCCTCTATGCAAAGCAGAGCCCTACCTTTGAGCTATACCCCATCTCTTCTTATTTTGAAAAGGGGTCTTAAGTTGCCAGGCTAACCTGGAACTTGTAATCCTCCTGCCTCAGGCATTTGCCATCACCACTGCATAGGAAGGAAGAAGTTTGCCCTAGGAAGCTTCCCAGATTACAGCTTCAAGGGGCTCTACATTTCCTGCTAATCTGTGCACAGATTTGGTTTGTAGCAAACAAAAGCATTCCTTAGGTGATATTGCATTTTTCTTCAGGCCCTTACATCAGGACTCTATTTTTCATTTAAAAAAAAATGATAAAAAAGATATCTGTGGCTACTTAGCCTTAGTTGTTAACATTCAAGTGTGGACAAGGATAATGTGTTTGTGTTCTGTGTGTAATTAAAAATTAACTTCAAATTAACTTTTAACAGTTCCTTTGCTCATTAAAAGGGAATATGGCTTCATCCTTCACAGGCTGAGTAATGCTCATGAGGCTACTATGCAATGCCAGTGAAGCTAGTTAGGACAAAAGTCAGCAAATCAGCAACAACGTGACCCAGTGGTGCAAGTATTCTGGATCCCACACACAGCCAACCTCCTCCGCAACCTGGGGCCCAAGGGTAGGCAGTAGGAGTTTGTTTCTAAAACTTGAGATAAATCCTCCTTTTGGAGCATTGTGAACACCAGAAGATAGGGTGCGTAAGAAAGGAATTCAACAAAATGTGACAAAGCACAATGGTAAAAAACATACCCATGCCACCTCCAACCCAGACAGGTTCTACCTGTTTTCATCTGGCCCCAATTCCAGGGTCCACCAATGCTGCACATGCACAAGCCACAGGGCTCAGTGGCAGGCACCCTCCAGCTTACTCCACAGGCCATACCTTTTGGGAGAAATGAAGGGAATGCAGAGAAGCAACACAGCAAAGACCTCTGCATAGAGGAAGGTGGCAACTGCAGTCCACTGCAGACTCATCCTGTGGTTACCAGGTTTCCAACAGAGATGTGAGCTTGTTTCCTAGCAGGGAACAGAAGGAACAGAAGCTATGAGAACTGGGCAACCACTGACCTCGAGTTTAGGTATTTGGAGAGGCTAAGGTTGCCACTCATCACCCTGGACCCCAGCACTCTGCTTCAGAGCCCTTAAATCACCGGCTAAATCGGGATTCAATTGGCCAATGGCGCCCAACCGCCTGACAAACTTCCGCTTACAGGGACAGTTACTTGCCGCCCTCCAGCATGTGCGTTAACACGTCCAAAGCCACCTTTGTTGACGATGCCTTTCCCCGGGGAGTCCCAGAGACTCCTTAGGCCTGTTTAACTAAGAAAACGTATTCCATAAACAACAGTACATGAGCAGGAGGAAATCCTCAGCACCCACTGGGTTCCCTTCCCAGGCAAGCTGCACCGTGCTGCAGAGACCGGGCATTTTTCAAAACCCTGCTACAGCCAGCTCCGGGACCACAGTATTTTAATAACTGCACCCTGCGGCCACCACCTACTCCCCCACAGAAACAGGGAGTCCCTTCGGTCCCCAACCCTTCCGACCCATAGATAAAAACACAGCGCCTCCTTCTGGAACCATTTTCAGGAGCTAAAAAAGCCTTTCGACTATTCCTGCCTTCCATGGGGCGGGAGGCCTCGAGGTGCCTTGAAAAGGCCCAAGACAGCGACTCCTAGAGGGCAGGAGTCAGGGCCAAGAGCAAACTCAGGTCTCGACTGAGCATCCCAAGCCCTCATCCAAAGAAAGCTCCAGAAGAAGCGAGTCTCCTCGAAGCCCTAGTGGGTCACAACGCCACCCAGCTCACGAGCCGCCCACGCAGCATCAGGCGGCCTGGGAGTAGCCATGGCCCAGCACTCTCCCCAAAGGCTCTCCCAGAGCTCCTACGAGTGGGGTTCGCCACCGTCCCCTGGCCCTCAATCCCCGAAAGCCCCGCTCCAACCGTCGCCGCGGTCCCATTTCTCTCAGCCCAGCCCTCTCCTACACTCCCTTGTCGGCCCCAGATCCCTAGATTCCGCAGACCCCTCGGTGTCTCCACGCTGCTGGTCCCTCTCCCTCGCCGAGGGGATGGGGTAGCCTTCGCAATCCCGGAGCCCAGCCAGATGGATGGACCCCACTCACCGAGTTCCTCACAATCCACGCACACAGGGCCGCAACCACCAAAATCTCTCACCACAGTCCCAGCCCCGCCCCTTTCCCGCGGCCGGAAACCGGAACTGCCTACAGGGCCACGCCCACCAGCCCTCGCGAGGCCCCGGCGGCTCCGCCCACGGCTTCTTCCCGCCTCGCTCGCCAGCTTAGGGCCTGTCTCCAAGGGCTTGAGAGGAAGCGGCGCCTCGCAGCGGGCGGCTGTCCGCGGTGCCTTGGGCACTCCGGATGCACAGGGGGCGGGGTGGGGCGGAGCCTTGGAGGGAAAACAAGGGCAACTGCTCTAGCCGGCCGGGTCGTCCCTCGTCTCTGTGGTGGGGGGCGGGACCGGCGTGCAGCGAGAACGGGGTGGAGCGCCCCGCGCCTGGCCTCCGCCTCTCGCCCCTCCTCCGCCTCCTCTCCTTCCCCTGGCTCGCCCCAGGGGAGGGCTGGATGGGTGGGGATTCTGGGCCGGTGGCGGAGTCACTGTCGCTTCAGCCAGGCTGCGAAGCGGACGGACGCACCCCGTGCCCCGGGAAGGGGCGCCACCAGGGGAGGAGGAGGAGGGGAAGAGATACCCTCTGCCCGAGATCTCTCGAGGCTCTCATCTCAGGGGCTAGGGGATTGACAGGAGAGGGAAGCCAAGTTCCTCTATCTGGTCTGCCTGAAGAGGCCGCGACCCTGGAGGGCCCTGAGCCCACCCACATCAGGGGCCCTAGGACCACCCCGAGGGCCTAAAGCGACAGTCTTAGGGACCACTGCAAGGTTACCAGTTGCCTAGACAGCGAACCTAGGGGTCAGCAACAGCCCTTTCCAGCACCTGCCTCAGGCATCACTCCCAGCCCCAAGCGTGCCTGCCAGTCCAGGTGACATGCCGGTGCTCTCCACCCCACGGCCCTCGCGGGTGACCATGCTGAGGCGCACAGCTGTGGTCCTGGCCCTCACAGCCTACGGAGTCCACAAAATCTACCCTCTGGTGCGCCAGTGCCTGGCTTCCTCCAGGGGCCCTCAGGTGCCGACTGGAGACCCCACGCAAGAGGCCCTGGGGGCCACAGCGGCCAAGGCTGGCATGAACCGAGTATTTCTGCAGCGGCTCCTGGTGCTTCTGCGGCTGCTGTTCCCTCGAGTCCTGTGCCGGGAGACGGCGCTGCTGGCACTGCACTCTGCTGCCCTGGTGAGCCGGACTTTCCTGTCGGTATATGTGGCCCGCCTGGATGGTCGGCTGGCCCGCTGCATTGTGCGCAAGGACCCACGGGCCTTCAGCTGGCAGCTGCTACAGTGGCTCCTCATCGCTCTCCCTGCCACCTTCATCAACAGCGCCATCCGCTACCTGGAGGGTCAGCTGGCCCTGTCTTTCCGCAGCCGTCTGGTGGCCCACGCCTATAGCCTCTACTTCTCCCAGCAGACCTACTATAGAGTGAGCAACATGGACGGGCGGCTGCGCAATCCTGACCAGTCTCTGACAGAGGATGTGGTGGCCTTCGCTGCCTCTGTGGCCCACCTCTATTCTAACCTGACCAAGCCACTCCTGGACGTGGCTGTGACCTCCTACACGCTGCTTCGTGCAGCCCGCTCGCGTGGAGCTGGTACTGCTTGGCCCTCGGCCATTGCTGGCCTCGTGGTGTTCCTCACGGCAAACGTGCTACGGGCCTTCTCACCCAAGTTTGGAGAGTTGGTGGCAGAGGAGGCACGTCGGAAGGGGGAGCTGCGCTACATGCACTCTCGTGTAGTGGCCAACTCGGAAGAAATCGCCTTCTATGGGGGCCATGAGGTGGGGCAGTTTGGGGCACTGGGCATGTAATAGAGCATGCAGCTGGGAGGCCCAGGGCAGGCAGCTGGGCATGGTGGGGAAAGCCCAGGGCTGATTGGGGCTGATGCTAAAGGTGCAGTGGGCCATGGAAAGGGGCCTGGGGATGGGTGAGGCCTTGGATGGCTGTGGTCTTAGGTGCAGAAAAGGAAAAGCAGGACAACCAGGTAGGAGCAGGCCTGTGCCGGCTGCCTGTGCAACTCTGATCCACTTCTGCTTCTTTGCTTTGCTACCTTGGTGAGCTTGCCCTGGACTTGGAGCTGCAGATCCTAGCGGTTTGAGACGCTAGCATTCTGGCTCACCCCAATGCTGCAGCCAGCCTGGAGGAGACTCCTGCCATCTGGGAGCAGAGACGGTAGGACGCAGCCTGCTGCCCAGCCTCTCCCTGGGCCCTTTGAAGGCTGGCGTCCACCAGAGCTGGCCGGCATTATGGGCATGACTCAGCCCAAGCCGAGGTTAACGAGCATCGCCCAGCTCAGCGGCCACTTGGTGTAGGCGGTGGCAGCAGTCAGGGTCAAGGCCCAAGGCCGTGGGTCTGCCCTGCCGAGTTACAGACCAACCTAGCCTCCTCCCCGCTGCCCTGGGCTGTGTATGCCTAGCCCCAGCCGCCACCGCGGCAGGACACACTTCCTGCCCACCCGGCAGCAGCCCTGCCCCCAGCGTGGCCGCCCTTCCGCCTAGGTCCCAGGCTCAAGGCTCCCTGGTGGGCCTACACCGATGGGCAGGCACTGGGAAAGGTTACTCCAGGCCAATGCTCCCTTTATCATTGCAGCCCCTCCCCTTCCTCGTGCCTGGGGTTGCAGCTGCCTCAGGTCTTATTCTCTGCAACTCCATTTTCTGTTCCTGAATGCCTTGGGGGGAGGGGCGCAGTAACATCCAACTCCTAAAGGCCAGTGTGTATTCCCTAGGTCAGGTGGCCTCTTGCCCCTGGACCCTGTCTCATTGGTTGCACATCAAGTAGAGAAACAGGGTTGCATCTGTTTTTTTGTTTTTTTTTTTTTTTTTAAAGAGGGCTTGTCCCTAAACTCTGAACTTCAGAGACATTCCAGGTGGGATCAGGTTTCAGATTAGGAGAAAAGTGCCTGGCCTTCTTCGGTATCCCCTCTCCCGCTTCCCTCTTCTCCTGCATGCCAGGCTGCAGGGCCTTGGCAGGCAGCTGTGGCCTTGGGTGAGGTGCTTGGCACATCACCTGCAGCTACATCATCAGCCTTGGCTGGCACTCCTGCCAACTCCCAGCACGAGCCTGGATCATCAGGGTGCTCAGAGGAGACACAGTCACTTCAGGAACAGGAAATTGGGCCTGAGAAAAGCTTAGCTATGGGAGCAGCACCAGGTGCTAGGGGCAGGTTCTTTGAAGGACTTCCTCTGGTCCTGGCTTCAGGAAGTCATTCATTTGCCAGGGTGGAGGGCCCTGTGTGCATTCTTGGCCAGTCTGGATAGGCCTCAGCTGGAAAGCTGTGTGGGGTGACAGGCCCCCATAGGTGGGTTGATTGCCCTTGCTGTTCAGGCATGTGGCTCACTCAAGTCCCACTGGCTGATGTCCCCATGGACAAGGGCCTGGGTTCAGATCAACAGGTTAGGACAGAAGTGACGGACTGGGAAAGGTTACTCCAATGGCCGAACAGCAGAGTATTCTCCTTTTACTAAGGTTTCAATGAGGCCGCTCATTTAAATACACACACATGCACACAACCTCTTGCTCGAGAACAAAGTAAACCTTTCTTAACAAGTCAAAGCACCATTTATAAGAATCTGGTTCTCCTAACAGCCCTGCCGGTGTGTTCCACATTCCTGTACTGCCTGCTTCCTTCAGGCAATGTGAGCTTGGGCAGAGCACTTTGTCTCTCTGAGCCTCACTACAGTGGACATGAGAATACACGTGCTGTGATATGGGTGTAAATCAAATAGATGTGAAAGCACTTGGCAAATGGTGCCAGGCTGGGCATCCCTCATCAGTTAAGCATGGAAGTCAGCGCCAAGGCATGTGTACCTGTACTGAACCAGAAAATATAGGACCCAGTAGCCACCTTGCTAGGAGCACTTTCCAACACCTCTGTCCTCCCCTACCTATCTGACTGCACTCAGTTCCCTGCAGAGGCACCTACCCAATCCTGACCTAGCAGGAAGTAGTAGCCAATGCACAAGGGCCTACCCATTTCTGAGGGAGGGAGAGCCAGGCTGGGATGCAGACCGCTGGGGAACACACCCTCCTGGTTTTGGTGGGAAAAAGCAGTGCAAGTTTCTCATGGAGAGGAACCCTGGAAAGTAGCCGGAGGTTGTCAAAGCCAAGAACACTACCTTTTGCTCTCTTGTACTGCTCTTTGCTTAGTTTAGGGTAGAAAAGTTAGAGCTAGCCTGTGCGGTGTCACATACCTGTAATCCCAGTGGCTCAGGAGGCTGAGGCAGGAAGATTTCAAGTTCAAAGCCAGCCTCAGCAACTTAGGTAGGCTGTAAGCAACTCAGTGAGACCCTGTCTCTAAATAATGTATCAAAAAGGGCTGGGGATGTGGCTCAGTGGTTAAGTGCTCCTGAGTTTAATCCCCAATACCAAAAAAAGAAAGAAAAATTAGTACTGATGGGGGTGGTGCTGAGGGAGTCCAGAGCCCCTCATGCAGAGGCCGCCCAGGGTACAGAGAGGGGAGTGGTGAGTATCCTAGCTAGAGAGATAGTGGGAAGAGGGGACAGGTACTACACTATGACTTCAGGCAGTCCCTTCTCATCACCACTACCCACATTGGGACATGGCCTCACCCCAGTTGTAACCCCCAGCTCTTAGCCTGGTCATGGCCATTAAACGGTGAAGTATGTGTGAGCAGTACTTGGAGATTCTCACCATCACCCCCACAGGAGTTGCCACAGGGCCTCTTGGTATGTGTCATCCTGGCAGGTGGAGCTGGCACAGCTGCAGCACTCCTACCAGAACCTGGCTTCGCAGATCAATCTCATCCTTTTGGAACGTCTGTGGTACGTCATGCTGGAGCAATTCCTCATGAAGTATGTGTGGAGTGCCTCGGGCCTGCTCATGGTGGCCGTCCCCATTATCACTGCGACTGGCTACTCAGAGTCAGGTGAGAGCCGGGGCTCTGGGAAAATGAGACAGGGTCCCTGTTTTTTCCTGTAGTACTGGGTGCTAGGTTTGCAAGGACCCAGTGCTCAGCTGGCCGCCTCCCCATTTGACTGGGGATGTTGAGCCCCTGATGGCATCATAAGATTACCAGAAGTCAAGCTCTTTTCATAGCTCCTTGTTGCCGTTCACCCAGCACATTCCTTGTACTGCCCAACCAAGCCTGGG